CAACTCCTAAGATTCTGTGATTCTGTGAACTTTCATAACTTCTCACTGATTTATTTGGTTTGCTTGAGGATTTTTGCTTGTTTCTGAAAACCTTTTTTACGTATTAGTTTCATGAAGCTTTAGTATATATAGCTTGCCTTTTACTTACTTTCTTTTGACATCTATTTTCTATTTTTAGCACTCTGAACTTCTCTGTGTTTGGTTTTCAACCCATCAGTATTTTGAAAGCGGAACTTACAAGGTCTTACCAGAACTAGTTGCAGCAATGTTCCTGGAAAAACTATGGAGAAAATTGTACTATTGAAAAGCATTTAAAGAGTAATGCAGTCATCTGGCACAGTCAGCATAGGATCACAAAGAAAGTCCTGTTTAACTGATTTGATACCCTTCTATCTTAAGGTCGCCTGGCTACTGAATGAAAGGAAGGTGGTGGATGTTTTTTTTCTGGATTTTAGTAAGGCTTTTGGTTCTGTTCCTCACAGTGTCCTGGACAAGTTGTCCAACTGTGGGATTGGCAAGTTCACAGTGTACTGGGTGAAAAACTGGCTGAAGGGCAGAGCTCAAAGGGTTGTAGTGAATGGTGTTACATCTGTCTGGCAACTGGTCACCAGCGGCTTTCCTTAGGGTTCAATTCTAGGGCCAGTCCTGTTCAATACATGTATCAATGACCTGGATGCAGGGGTTTAATGCACCATTAGCAAGTTTGCTGACGATACCAAACTGGCAGATGCTGTTGACTCTCTTGAGGGTTAAGAGGCCTTGCAGAGGGATCTAGATAGATTGGACCATTGGGCTATGATTAATGGGATGAAATTTAACAAGTCCAAATGCCAGAATTTTGTGCAGGGAGTAGAGCTGGGCACAAGTATGAAATGGGAGAGGAGTGGCTTGAGAGCAGCCCTTCAGAACGGGATCTGGAGGTACTGGTTGGCAGCAGACTTGATAGGAGTCAGCAGTGTGCCCTGGCAGCCAAAAGGGCCAGCTGCATCCTGGGGTGCATCCCAGTATGACCAGTGGGTCAAAAGAGGTGATTACCCTGCAGTGTTCAGCATTGGTGCTGCCTCACCTTGAGCACTGTGTGCAGTTCTGGGACCTACAATTTAAGATGGATGTGAAGATCCTTGAATGTGTCCAGAAGAGAGCAACAAAGTTGGTGAGAGGACTGGAAGGCATGTCTTCAAAAGAGCAACTAAGGAGTTTGGGCTTTTGTGGTTTGGAGAAAAGGAGGCTGAGGGGCAACTTCTAACAGCTTCCTGAGGGGTTGAAGCGAAGAAGATGCTAATCTCTTCTCCTTGGTACCCAGTGAATAGGACACATGGAAATGATTCAGAGCTGCACCAGAGGAGGTTTAGACTGAACATTAGGAAACATTTCTTTACCAAAACAGTGGTGAAACACTGAAAGAGGCTTCCTAGAGAGGTGTTGGATGCCCTGTGCTTGTCAATGCCCTTAATAACATGGCTTATCTTGGTCAGGCCTGCATTGGTCAGGCAGTTGGACTGGTTGATTGTTGTAGGTCCCTTCCAGCTGATGTAGTTCCCTTCCCCGAGTGTCTGGTTATTGCTATATCACTATTTATTGACTATGCCACAGTAGAATACCTGTGCTTATAATATTACAGAAGCATAAAACACCATGAGCAGACTTGTGACTGTAAATATCCATGTTCTTAGGATGATCAGCATGTCTGAGCAGTTTCTTCTGGCTTAGTTAGAGGGGCATATATGGTCAAATTTTCTTTCTAAAATGTTCCTGTCTGTCCCTCTTACTTTAGGAAATAATTTTTGTGCACAGCGTAATAAAATTTACCTTGCTGTAGTTGAAAGTTGTAATTTATTTGTGTAAACGCATGGCAGTTAAATGCCTGTTTACATAGTCCTAAGTCAGAAGACTTGGAAAGTGGTACCTGTCTTACTTTCACATAATTCATAATGCTCCATTATGATTCTTGTTGACTGTCTGTTGTCTTGTATACTACTTTCTTATAAGGTTGTGTAGTATTCCTCCAAGGGTCACCATGGTAACTAAATACTGAGACATACCTTAATCTAAAGGAAAAGCTGTGAAGATTAAAATATGTGCCATTACATGTTTTACCTTGAAATTCATGGGACTTCATGGGTATATATGTGGGGTTTTTTTTCCCCTATTACTGTTAAACTTTTAGAAATTTTGATAGTGCAGTAAAATAATCTCAATTTTCATTGTCTCTTTTTTCATTTAAAGTAGCAGAAGCGATACAATATCTCATAATGGCGAGATACCTAATAATCAAATACTTCAAGGAGAAACAAGGTAGGCTGCTTGTTTTTCTATAGTTACTATTAAAATAGATCCAGACAATCATAGTGCAAGCTTCTACTAACTTGAAAAAAAGCCAACCAACCAACACAAAGACCTACAACAAGTTTTATGTAAAAAATCCTGTAGTTTCTTCTACATTTGCATCTATATGTTAGAATTTGGGGTTTTTTTCAGTACTTTCCTGAAGGATTTGAACTAAAAGATCTTACCAGTAAGAGCAGGGTGCAGTTGCAATTGGAACAAAAGGATTTTCTAAAGTCCAAGTCTCGGAAGAATGCATTTAGGTGTACAAATAATAAATATGCTTTAAAATTGCAATTTTGAGTAGCAGTGGAACTCCATTAGATCTGCTTTTATGTCAGTGAGGGTGGCTTTTTTTGTTGTTATCAAAATAACAGAATATAATGACTAGAAAACCGATGAGTTAACCTTTCTGTAACACTACATCTAAAACTCTTTTCTGTTTAATACTGTGTATTTCTCTTTACAGTGGACACCCAACATTCAAATGCCCTCTGTGTCAGGAAGCCAATTTTACCAGACAACGTTTGCTGGATCACTGTAACAACAGACATCTTTATCAGATAGTTCCTGTAGTAAGTAAAGTTGCTTATGTATGCTTCTGAAGCTACTTATATTATAATTACATAAACAATTGTACATGTGCAGTAGCTACTCTATATCTGTAAAGATCCCTGTGGTCTGAGAAAGACAATATACTTAAGGCAGTGCATTATCTAACTTAAGGAGTGACTTTCATTCCAAAGTGTTTTGTGTCTCTCTTCTTGTCCGTTCTAAGGGATTTCTGACTTAATTGTCTCATTTGTCTTGATGTGAAAAAACCTCAGTTTTTGAGCCTGACACTTGCTTTTCTTCATTTAGTAACTTAGAGCTGCTTCTATAGAATCCCATTTGTAACGTAACTGTTGTTTCATGTGAAACTTACAGTTACTTGAAAAGTAATTGAAGGTAATCAAAGGGACTGAAGGAGAAAAATCTGTTTGGTTTTCTATTCTTTTCATCTGCATAGGGTGTATTATTTTTTTCTTTCAGCTTGTTCATCTCAATTGTATGAAAATCATCCTGGACAATAAGTAGGATGCAATAAACACTTTCTTTTCTAAATTTTAAACAACAAAAATTGACAAAAGGAGTGCCAGACAGGCGTGATAATCCCTCACTCCTAAGAGAAACACAAAATTTGGCAAGTTGAAATGTAATTTTTGAATGTTACACAGTTGAAGAGAAGAACCCTTAGAACTATGATTTTATGTAAACATCTCTACTGTGTTTTGGTAGGGGATGAGTAATAAACTAGTTATTCCTGTAGTACATGTCTTTACTGCATTCTGTATTACCAATAACTTTTTTTTCCATTCTTTTTCTTTCCCCTTCCCCTCCAAATTCAGGTCTGTCCCATTTGTGTATCTCTTCCTTGGGCAGATACTAATCAGGTTACTAGAAATCTTGTTAGCCATCTAAATCTAAGACACCGGTTTGACTACGGAGAATTTGTGGTAAGCTTCTTTGATGTGTAGGGGAATACGTGTTAACTTTTTTTCTGTAAATAAAAACGCTAGATAAAAAATGGGTACCAAACTTGTTTGTGCTCTGGACATGCTATGATCCTGCTTTGTATGGAGCTCAGAAGTATACCTGTCTGTTGGTAAACTCTCCATTATCAGCATGACGTGTGGCTGGGAATAGGTGTTGTCAACAGTTAAGCTCTTCTCCAAACTGATAATTTAAGTCTTTAGCTTAGTGTTCTCAATTTGAACTACTTGTTCCTCCAGAACAGTTTATTAATGCTGCTTCTGAGGGAAATAAAATAGATGCTACTCTGTTTTATTAACATTTTTTGACCTTTTGCAGCAGAAATGACTAAACCAAAATTCTTGAAAATCAAAATGCAGCTTGACTAGCTGGTATCGCTGCTACAGCCTTCCAATATGTAGACGGGCTGCAGTGTGAAAAAGATGTCGTTAAATCGTCATTCTGGTTGCCTTCTTTCAGGCTCACTGAGTAAATGACCTTGGAGTAGATGCAGAGCTACTTAGACATATGTAGTTGCTGGGTGGATCAGAAGTGAACCCAACCAATTGAGTTCTGCGTATGGAATCAGAGCTGGAGAGTTTGTGTTGTAGCTTCTACAGAGTTTGACAGGCTTTGGGGTACACTGCTGGCACTGTGTGTGGGATGAGCATAGTATTTGAGGCATGGGCAGGCTCACAGGTTAAAGATGGCAAAGATGGTGCATGTTGTTCTTCGTGTTGAGTGATCTGTGACAAATGCATGAAGAGCTATGAGATTTACACAAGGGACTGGGCTCTTCAGCATTAGTGCATCTTCCATGTGTGAGGTTGTAGAACTGGTGAATGGAATTCTGATTTGGGGAAGCTGCCAGAATTGTACTAAAAAGGTGTATTACTCTGGTGTATTAACAACCTGGAAGATAGCTCTTTGAAAGTAGCAGGATTAACCTCCCATCTTTTGTGGTAAGTGTTTGCTTTCTTCTTTTAAGCAGTATGCTCTCAACAACCTATGATTCCTGTTGTCTAGGGATCACATTTTATTTTCATTAATGGAGGATGTTATGGCTGGTTGGAAGCCCTGTTACAAGAATTGCGTGACATAGCTTTCCCGAGCTGGCTCTTCTGTAATGTAATTGAGCCAGGGAGAGAAGATGGACCCTTCTGCTTAATGAGCCTTGTCCCACTCATCTGATTCTTCTCCTGTCTCATGCATCTCTTGGTACTTGGTTAAATAAAAGATAATTATGCAATATAAACAGTCAGCTAGTACACATAAAGATGGAGAGTCTTCATCTAGGTGCCAATTCCTGTGTAAAAATGTGGAAAATGGGTGATTAAACTAAGGACTGTGGTGTATCTTGAGAATCTGTTCATTTTGATCATGTTTTCATTTTGTTTAGAATCTTCAGCTTGATGAAGAAGTCCAATACCAAAATGCAGTCGAAGAATCCTGTCACGTGAACTTTTGAAGTATAGTCCCTCCTTCATCTTACTGATGATCTGAGAGAATAAAATCACATGAATTCTGTTGGTGATCTGAAGTGTATGTTAATAAAACAGTATTCAGCAACCACTTTTCAGGCTTTTTTCCATGTTCATAAGGACTTTTCATAAATTATTTTGTTGAAACTCAAACTTGACATCTTTAGAGATCTGAACTAGGGACCTTTTTTGAACTTTTCACTGTTGTCTTGATTTTCTTTTACTGCTCTATTAATTACATGGTTTCTTTTATTAATGTCAGATATTTTAATTCACCAAAATCAATTTTGAAATTATCTTTAGAAAGACATGCAAAGGTGCTCTGTTGTACTCTTTAAGTTTGGCTGTCATCTGCTAAGGTATCAATGAGATGATTTTTTTTTTTTCTCCTCCTGCATGAAGACAAGGTTTTATTTGATGTTGTGATTTGTTTTTTACCATTACTGTGTGAATGAAAATAACACCAACTTAAGAAAGAAAAATACTAGTTTTCTATAGATGAAGAGAGATCATCATAGATCACGAGGCTTATTTTGCCTTTCATTGAGAAAGAATTATGCCATTGCCAAGGAATAATCACATCGATTTTTTCCACTTTTGGAGCATAACTTAAATATAACTTGCTTACTGAAGTGATGGCTGAGGACTTTTCCCTGTACTCCCAACTGCTAAGGAAGATGATCTCCCTGACAAACCTTCTGAACAGTTCAAGATGACATGAAAAAGGTAGACTTTTCCAGTTTATGACTGTGACCAGCCAGTTTTTCATTTTGGAAAATGTCATGGAGCTTTTTAAGAACTTCTGTTGTTTCATTAGGAATTCAAGTTTTGGTCTGTTCTGTCTTTCCTGGAAGGCTGTGTAACTAGAGAACTAATTGGCTTCAGACCTACCGATGCTCAGAAATGAACTTGTTTATTTTGGTAACACTGTTTAAAACTTGAATATCTCCTGGATCCAAAAGCTTGGAAAAACAGCTGAGAAGAACAACTTGCTCTAAAATAGCTGCCAACGTATTTTAAAAGTTCTTATTCTAGATTTCCACATTCCCAGCAGGACCATCATTAAAATCAGAGAAAACAGAAATAATACAATTTTGAATTTAAATGGAAAATCCATTTGTAAAAGAATTTTAAGGTCTTTTATTTAGTACTAATGGGGAGAAGAAGAAAGCAAGCTGCACAGCTTACATTTTAGAGGTTTAAGTAGAGTTTGTTCTGAATGTATACCTTTTAAGACTGAGTCTTCACCCCGTGTCACTATTGTGTAATGTCAAACTGCTGTTCTTAATGGGTGTTATATATGTGGTGGAGAACATCCCCAGCGATTTTCCTAGCCTAGTTGATGATTTATGTGTAATAGTACCAGTTGTGCAGCCAAAGTACAATATCTCTCTTGTGCCCTGGCTCCCATTTCTTCTCCAAACAGAGGTTTTGATTATCTTTTAAATGCTGGGCTATTTCATATTCCAGAACTGGTGAGATTGAAATGCCTCATTCTAGTTTCAGAACTCAGTCTTAGTTCTGATATGTTGAAACTAAAGCTCTATACACTGTAACTTAAATTTTCTATCTTCTTTTTTTTAAGAGTGGAAAACACAACTGAAGACATAGCTGGCTAAAATACAGAGAAAGCTGGCTACTTCAGAAATGTCTAAAAGTCATATCGTTGTTATAACAAGACGTCTTGCGTTTTGTTACTGGCTTAATACAGTGTTTTGAAAGCACACCATGCTTTGAGCTGGTACTCCGACTTCCTCGTTTGCCTCCCATACTCTCATCTGCGTGTCCTCACTTTTCTGTCAGCTCTCGTGCTTGTGGGACCACGTACTGATTTGCAGTGGTTCACTGATCCAGCTGAAAAGGTTGTTGGTTTGGCTTTTTTACTCTTTCCTCTATAAAGCTGGCTACGAAATAGTGCCCTTAGAAAGGTCTCAAGTTTTAGCTTTTTAAAATAAAAACGCATACCGTGGTGATTTTATTACTGCATACATTTCCTAAGAAATTTAATAGTTATATGTAAGTTTAGTTTTTTAGATTCAATAAAATATTTATACGATCTGGTAATAAATGCCTACAGCCAATACAGATTCAGAATGCCTCATGGACACTGGAACTAGTTATTTCTATTACTTGAACATATCTTGAAGAATTGCAAATGAAATTACAAGTATTTTAAAACTCTGGGAAACATTTTTCTATAGCAATAATTAGTTGTCACTTGATGCATAGTTGCTGAGAGTTTTAGTCATGTTTAAATGTTGGGAGATTTGAATACACATTTTAAAGCAACAAATGTGTGTAAATGCAATATAAAAACTTTGCAAAATGTTTATCCTCTTTATTTGGATATGTTAATATCTGTATTGGTCGGCGCTACCTTGCTTAAGAGTTTATACTTTTAATGTGAAGAGATTGCATCCAATACATTCACTAGGTAAGCGTTTGAAAATGAAATAATTATTTAAGTGTGCTGCTGCTGGTCATGATCTTTCTCACTGAAACTCAGACGTGCACAGAAAGTGGTGTATTTATGATGGGTAATGCTTGTACTCGAAACATGCAGTCTTTACTAGAAGAGTGCTGTTTAACAGTGTCCTCATGTTTATGTTGCATTGTGTATGGTTTCAACATGGTATGTTAAGTTTGAATTGTACCTTCTATTTTTTTTCTCCTATTAAAGTATTTTATTTTCTGTTTGTTTCTTCGTTGCATAATAAAGATGATCAGTCCCCTTGATGCTACTTCTTCCTTTCTGGATGCTTTCTAAACTTAAGTACACGGTCAGTTGTATGCTTTCACACTTTGAATGTTTAGGATGGCGTGTATGCTGCTGGAACTGATGAGTTGGGGCTCATGATCCTCCCATGAGCTAACAAATTACCTTCTATCACATCTGAAGATCTTGCCATGAGCAGGAAAGATGATAGATTGGACAAAACTCATTCATGCCTCCCATGATCATATGTTGCTGTCCCATCCGATTCTAATAAAGAAAGAACCTCCTAAAAGGAGAGAGAAAGAAGTATGTAACACTTGGGGCCAAGAGCAAAACCTCATTATTTGAGGGTAGATTTATTAAGAAGAGGCATTTTCAGAGAACTGTCAATAAATTTTGGGCTGGTTGTACTGTTGCACCAGCAAGGTGGTATGTAGACGATTTGTCCTTCTGTTGTGTATTTCTGAGCTGAAAAACCCTTTGGTTATTTTTTGTGCTTTTACATTCAGAGGACATAGAGGTGATGATATCGTTATGAAATTGAGTTAATGTCTTATTTTGAATGCCAGAAACACAGTGAAAATATGTAAATTTGCTTTTTATTAGTTCATTGTTCTTTCCCCTTAGCATGTAGTTTTCTGAGCTCTAAATGGATTGTTCTGTCTCCTAAATCAGGTTATAAGCCTTTAGTCAGAGATTCAGTTTAATTTTCTTTTACTATAGCAATGCATAGCTCATTATTTAGAGAGAGTGCACTCAATGTGTTTCATTCTCATTGGCAGTATGTTCATTACAGGATACGTGAGCTTTGCAAAACTTCTCTGTCCTGCTCCGGTCCTAAGCCAGGGCTTCATTCCCAGGGAGAGAGAGGGACTTTGTGCACCCAGGTCATCTTCTGACAGGTATTCAGGGATAGGAGGTTTTCTGTAGTTGGGAAGCATTCATGGGTCCCTCTTTTTAGATGGGGCTTTTGAGTCTGGTGAGGTTTGAACACCTGTCTGTGAGGACTCTGCTATAAAAGTCTGCGGCCGGTGTATTTTTTATGTCTTTTGTGTTATGCTGAAACAGACACACTAATTCACGGACCTCTTAAGAGATGTGCACTTTGCTATGTCTGGAAAACACTGTGCCATTTGTGAACTGACTGCAGCACCTGGCAGCTGAGGTTGTTTTCTTGCAGGCAAGCAGAGCTACAGGAGTATCTGACAAAAGCATCTTCAGGGCTCTTACAGAATTGGAGAAATCAGCAGTGAAAGAGCACAAACACTGCATAGCCTGTGCTTAGTACAGTGTGCATTTAAAAGAAACCAGATAGCTAGAGCCAGTTTGTGTCCTGTTGAAAACAAGTAGGAGACAAAATTCAGGGCCTCTACTCTGAGAAGGCTTTTCAATAATGTTAAAATTGCCACTTCCCAGTGAATTGCCAGACTCTTACTGGGGTCAAAGTGTGGAATTTTTTTTCTTTTTCCTCTCAAGTAATGTAAGTCTACTGTTTCTTACTCTCCTCAGACTGTGGGTCTGCTTTGGGAGGGATCAGTTTTTACTGCTGCTTTCTAGGCCTAACCAACCTTATTCTATATAACTTTTTTTTTCCTGACAGTCATATATCTCTATTTTTGTGGATATGATTAGGAAAGAAAGTTTTATGTTTATTCTGTCATATTCCCCATGCTGTTAGGAAATAGAAAAAAGAAAAAATAGGACAAAATCATCACTGCCTAATGCATTCTGTGGAAAACATCTAATTCCATTTTAAAACTTTGCCTTAAATCCACTGTACCCATTTAGGATGCATTTTTCAGCCCCTTGAAGCTGCAGGTCATTTCCCAGGGCTTAGAGGCAGAATACTGTTTTTATGAACTTGCTTAAGCTTATGAGGACACTTAGTCACTAAGAAAAGTCCTCTTCACTATTCCTTTACTGTTTCTCTACTTTAGTGTTTGTTTCTCTTTTTTTCCTCTGTATTTCACTACAGCAATTCTCGCAAGTTTGCCATGTTTCACTCCCACTCTCCTTTCTGTCTTTTAAAGTAATCAGCAATTAAATAGCTGAGATTATATTACTTAGCTACTAAGTATTTTCTCATATTCTGTATGTTTTACAAGCTTTTATGGCTGTGCCCTCAATATCTTGAGGCTGATGTGAGCCTCAGGGGTAGAGTAACTGAGCATCAATAATTTCCAGAGTTTGCCTGCCTCTTTTACTTCTAAGACTGGAGGAGTTTATATTTCTCTGAATGTGTTTGCAGTTTGAAAGAATCTGAACAATTTACCAGTCAGACCTGCTCTTTAACAGTAATATGCACTTGT